TGCCATTCTTCACACCTCCATTCCCAGACTCTGCAAGGGTACAAACAGGGACTGGCACTGCTCCACACTGCTCCTAGGCTCTGCTCAAAGCTGGTTAACAGGTAGCTAGGCCATGGAAGGACACCAAGTCAGGAACACCTCTGTTTTGTGAGGGAAGGGCACCTTGCCAGGGCCACAATCATTATTGTCCCTGCAGGTGGGAAATCTCTAATCTACAGCCCACTGAGACTCAATTTCCTCGTGCATCCATGCTGCGGGAATAAACTACTTGCACACAAGCAGTGGTAGTACAACAGCAGAACGCACCTGGAGGAAACAAACTACATCTGAGTTGTTTTAGGTTACTTGAAACAGGACAAGTAGGGAAGCAGTTCTTGCCCCCCAAATTTTGACTGGGTACCACTTTCTGTGCAGCTCCTGAGGGATCCAGGCTGGAGGTTCATCAAGGGCTGGTGAGCAGAAAGGCTGGCACAGGGCTTTGGGCAATGTGATGGACAATGTTGTCCATTTAAAGGCCAGGTTTCACCTGTAACAAGTGAAGAGAGCACCTCTGTGCTCAGCAATATCCTATTTACAGAATGGAAACTGCTAGGTGCTGGAGCTGCACATCTAGCAGGCTAAATCACAGGGCAGAACAACCTGGATCGTTGCAGGCTACCCTGTGACCTGGGAATGTTTCTGGCATCATGTTTCCCTTGTCTCCATGCTGAAGGCTCACAGAACAGTGCTTTGCTGTTGTGATATACTGGAGCTACAAAGACCAGGATAACTCTCTAAGTTGGTGGAGTTCTTAATGGCTTTTAATAGCTCTCAGCAGGTTCAGCTGTTCAGTACCTCCCAGGGATTATACGGAGTGCCAAGATAGTTTGTCTGCCAGGAGCACTTCTAATACATTATCCACACAAAATTCCCAGGCAGGCAGAGTCCAACAACACAGTGGCTGCTCCTGGATGTGCACAACCATGCAAGTCTCCTGGGTTGCGTGGTGAGGTGGTTGGGCTCAGAGTCCATAGAGCAAATGAGGCAGCAATAAGGGATGAAGAAATAGGTATGGCATAGGGATGGCAAAGGGGTACCTGAAAGCCCATGTTACAGGGTGGAGGGGTAAGGAGTGAGAAGGAAGCTGCAGAGGAGGGACTTCTCCCCACATGCTGCTGGAGGAAGAGCAAACACTGACTTGCTTCCCAGGGCAGGCAGTAGCAGGCTGCTTCTCCTCGCCTCCTCCTGCTGTGGGACAGGGCGGCGCCAGAGCCGCCTGCCTTGGCAAAGGGGGACTCCCACATCAGGTTAGGCAAGTATTGGGCAGGTTACTGGGATCTGGAGGCACTTTCCCATGCACTAAAACCTCCTCTGTCCTGCCAGTCCCAACACCTTCCAGATCCTCCCAGTTTTCTTACCATGTCATGTGGCTGAGCACTAGCAGCTTCCCAGCCAGGATGATCATTAGTTCCTCATATTAAAGGCATCTACTCACCGATTAATATCTGTGCCCATTTGTTGTTTTCCTGAAGTGTCAGTTGCTTGATCAGCTTGATAAACTATGATGAAATGTCTGGCTTGGAAGGTGAGGGGAGAGCAGCAGAAAACTGCTACCCTGATTTCAAGTAAGGTCTTTGACACTGCCCCCTGTAATATCCTCATAGAAAAGCAAATGGAAGTATGGGCTGGGGAAGGAAACAGTGGGGTGGACTGAAAAGTGCTGTGCCCACATGATGGTGATCAGTAGTAGTCTAGATGGAGGCCAGTAACTAGTGGTGTCCTCAGGGGTCAATACTGGGTCTGATCCTCTTTAGCATCTTCATTGATGATCTGGACGATGAGGCGGAGTGTATCCTCAGCAAGTTTGCTGATGAGGCAAAACTGGGAGGAGTGGCTGATACACCAGAGAGAGGGTCGTGCTGCCATCCAGAGGGACTCTAACAGGCTGGAAAAATGGGCTGGCAGGAACCTCATGGTGTTCATAGGGAGAACTGTAAGCTCCTGCCCCTGGGAAGGAATAATCTAGGGATAAGTCTATGGAGTGGTCACAAAGATGACTAAGGAACTGAAGCACCTCTTCTATGAGGAAATGCTGAGAGCTGGAACTGTTCAGCCTGGATAAGAGAAGGCTTTGGGGGGACCTTGTCAATGTATATAAATAGCTAAGGGGAAGGTGCAAAGAAGATGGAGGCAGGTTCTTACCAGTGGTGCCCAGCAACAGGATCATAGGAAATGAACACAAACTGAAATAGAGGAGGCTCCTGCTGAACATCAAGAAATACTTTATTACTGTGAGGGTGACTGAGCACTGGCCTAGCTACTCAGAGAGTTTGTTGCTGAGTATCTTCATCCTTGGAGATAGCCAAACGCTATCTGGACATGGACCTGGGCTGCTGGTGCAGGGAGCACTGCTTGAGCAGGAGGGCTGAAGCAGATGACCTCCAGAGGTCCCTTCCAACCTCAACCATTCTGTGATTCTGTGGGAGGGAAGAAAGTGGAATGCTTGAGAAGGAACATAGGAAGCACCTGTTAATACGCTGACCCAGGAAAATAGCAGCGTGGTGAACATTTCAACCTAAGGATGGCTGGAGTCTGGGAGACAAGATGTACTTGCCTGTCCGCCAACTAGGGGAGCACAGGCATGCCTAGCCTCTCCCAGGCCTTGCCCATAGCCAGCAATGCTCAGCAGGTTGCTGCTTTACATCATCCAGCCAGCGGTTGCCACAGTAACTGCACTTACAGATGAAGGATGCGAGGCTCCTGGGGTAGTGGAATGATTGGCACCCGCTGGGTGTTGTCTCTATTGCACAGCAGGAAAGGAAGATGTGGTTTTCTGAACGTGAGAAAATAAAACACCCTTCCCTGTGCTACACCGAGCTGGGCTTCCCACCCGCTTCCTACTGCAGCTCCCCTCTCCCCAGCCCTGTGCTCCCTGGCAACTGCACTGGTTCCTTGAAACACTCAACCCAAGAAGTAAAACAAGAAATCAGGCAAGAGGCATCACTTCAGTTTCAACAGCCCCGTCAGACCCATCCCAGAGGAAACCAAGGCCTGACCTCCATAAGGATCACAGACCCCTTAAGTGTCAGTGGTTGAAGGGCTTGGATGGAAACTCACTGTCCCTCAGGGTCCCTTCTTGTCTAGTTTTCTAATGAGATCTGCTCACACTCACCTTCATTGCATGCAGGATCAACAGTAGCAGAGGGAAGCCACACAAAACCAAACCCTGGCAGACATGATGGATCCCTACAGTGCTGCTCTTATCCCCATTCAAAGCAAGAACAGCCCCATGGGTAAAGACAGCACTTCTACCCCTGATTCCATTGCTGGGGAGTGGAAGCATTTATAGGACACAGGTGCCTGGTGCCGTCAGATACATGAAGAACCAAGGGAAGGCCAGGTGAAGCCTCTTTCCCTTCTGCTCCAAGTACACCTTTGCTTCATAGCAAAGCCCTCAGGGAGAGGTGCGCTGGATGAGAAGTCCCATGCTAACAAGAGGGATCAACACCCCCTCTGCTGAGTTCTGTTTTCAGCAGCAGCCACATGAAAAAGAAAACCTACTTGGCTGGCTCACCATTTGGGATCCAAAGGATGAACTCCAAAATCTCAGAGCCTGAATGGGCTGTAACACTCAGATTCTGGGTTCCTTTCTGTTTCTGGTGTGCCAGCCTGGGAGACCACAGCCTCCAACCTCCTGTCTGCTGGCTGGGAGAGCTGGAAAGAACAGAGCATTCATCCTCAAGCACCTTAGAAAAAAGAGGGAATCTCCTGGGGATGCTCTTGTTGTGCACTGTCTCCTCTGTACACACTCATTTAACCCACTCAGTCTGTCCTGAGCTGTACTGAGCATTCCCATCTGCGGCCACAAGTCACAGTAACAGCGCTCTGAGTTTCAGCCTGATATAAGATCTGAGAGCTCTGAAAAATAAATCAGGGTCTGGGTTTCTCTAGTTCAGCAGCCAGAGTTAGCAGACACATTAGGTCTCAGTCTTGCTCTGGCTGATGATGCAAGTGCTGGTCAGACACTCATTAAGAGAGCACCAGTCCTCTGGTTGTCTAATTGAAGATGGGACAGACAAAAAGGAGAGAAAGTTGCACATGAAGGGACTGATTAAGATAAAGGGCAGTCTTCCAAGAGCTTTTTGGGTCAGTTTTTGTTTTAGAGGGCTGTTTGCTAAGTTACTGGGGAGTGGGGGGGAAGACTCTCAGTAGCTGGAATTGTCCTAGGGCCAGTAAGTCGCATCTAATTCTACCGTGAGCTGACACATCACTAATGTACACCGAGATCAGTTCTTGAGCTCGCAAGCTGATCTCTCAAGACGTGATGCTTGGTCACCATCAACAGTTGTTAAAGGGGTCTGACAGACAAAGGGGAGGATTTGGCTCCCATATGAGGAAGGGAGGCAAAATACGTTCCCAAGCTGTTTTCTCCTTCCTGCCTGGCATCACAGACAAACCCAGGGAGAGGACACAAAGGATGGCAAGCTACAGCCCAGTAAAGGTCACCTGCAGGGGTACAGCAATACTCATATCTCCTTCTCTCAAAGCTTAGTGTACTTGAGAAGGGCCACAGCAAGACCCGATTTGGACAGTTCTCAGCTTTCTGCAAGCTACATGACAGAGGTGGCACCTCACCCCTGCTCTAGCAGAGCTGGACACCACTGTGCATGGCCACATAGGGTCCTCCTGACTAGCAGTGGGCAGACTTGAGGCACAGCACAAGAACTCACCATTCCCCAGCAAGCAATCACCCATGCTGTGAATTGGGTGGCAAAGATAGCCTCACTCACTGCTCCAATTCGCCTGACCAGACCCCATGTCCTACCCCATAGCCCCACTAGCCACCTCCACCCTCCCCTCCAGTTCCAGACCCCAGTAAGAGACAGCAGCAAACAGCAGCTTGAAGATGCTGTCCAGAAGACATGGTCCAGCTCTCTCTTGCCTACTCAGCAGCACCCCCTTGAGTCTTGCCACATCCTCATTTTCGAGAGCTCAAAGATACCACAAGCGAATACAGGAGATTATTTCCAGCCCACGCTCACACTTTATTATATACAGAGACACAGTGAGTGTAAGAACATCAACATGGGATGTGGACAGTAAGGGAGGCCTAAAGGCACTGCCTCCTGTCTCCTTGGTGCAACCAGTCAGCATACTTTATACAAATAATACAATATTTGAACAATAAATAAGTTTAATAAATAAGATCAAAAAATAAAAAAAAAAGGTAAAAAGACAAAGCAGCAAGGAATGGATGAGGGCTGTGACACACCCACAGCAGTGACAATACCACCACCATCTCACCTGCACACCAGCAGCTGCAGCACAGACCCCCAGCAGCCCTTTTCTCTCACTGTACTACAGCAAAATCCAACTGAGGAGAGAGGGCACTGGGTACAGTCCAATATTTCTGTGCTGTTGTGGTCTAGGAGCCCTCTCTCCTTCACAAGCCCCTTCAGTAAAGGTGCTTGAAAACAAGGTACAACTGCAGCCCCGCTGTATGCAATCACAGCTTGTCAGTTTGGCACAAAAAAACCTCTCAACTAGTCTCTTCCCTTCCCATAGTCCCTCAGACACTGGCACAGTTATTAACTGAGTTGGGGCAGGGGGACAACGAAGGAAATATCTCTAAAGAACGGGGGAGAGAAGAGATGAGGCAATGCTCCCTTTCACTCATGGGAAGCACAGATGCTCTCATTCATTGCTCCAGCATACTCCTTCCACATGCCCTGGCACTGAAAGAGACCTGGTGGGTGACATCCCTGGGCAGGAGGGGCTTACTACAAGGACCTCAAGGATGCAGCTCAGAAGTTAAAGAGTTATGACCAAAGGGACAGCAGTAAAAGGCCGCCACTGGTTACCTAAGAGAAAATAAGACAATAAGACACCCAGTCCCTAACTCCTGCAGGGGGTGAGGCCGCACATACACACTGATGTGACCCCCACGTTGGAGCTCAAGGCCTCCAGCTCTCTCCCAGAGACACTGGCAGCTGGCATATAAGGGAGAGGAAGCGTCATGGACAGCTCTCAGCAGAAAGAAGACAACTTGAACCCTGGTCCCTCCTGCCAACCCCCCCCATTTTGCCCCCAGAGAAGGGCACTGGAATGTGAAGAAACCAGGAATTGAGGAAATAGGGCAGTGAGAGAGAAATGGGAACAGTTGGAGATCTGGGATGCAGAACCTGACCCGTCTGCCCCCACATATACAGACTGCTACTCATCCAGACCTGGTATCAAGTCTGCAATGCTGTCCACATAGTAATTGGGCACCATATCCTTGGCAGCGGCGCTGTCACTGGCCATGTAGGCCTGCGCCTCTTCCAGGCGGGAGACACCTGTCAGGGTGAGGATGGTGGAGAGGCCGCAGTTCTTGCCAAAGAGGATATCTGTCTCCAGACGGTCTCCCACCATGAGGGTGCGGGACGGGTCGACGCCGAAACGCTCCACGATGCAATCAAACATGTACGTGTTCGGTTTCCCCACCACTAGTGCCTTGCGGCCTGAAGCCGTTTCCACCGCGGCTGTGAGGCTGCCAGTCCCTGGAGAGAAGAGGGAGGAGAAAAAGACGTAGCCACGGGCTACTCGGCTGCGGGAAGCTCAGCACTGAGGGTCCCACAAGCGGACTGGGATGCTGACAGGGATGGATGTGAGCATCCTGATGCTCAGGGAACCTCCTCGCCCGTGCCTGGGACGGTGAACCCCAACCCAGACCAACCCCGCCCCCCCCGGGGCAGCAAGGGAGGGAGAGGGGCCCGCGGGCTCACCGGGGGTGCGCTGCCCGTCGCTGAGCGGGTGCCAGGGGTCGGGGTCGGTGGCCACCAGGAGGCACTGCGGGTCGCGCAGGTAGCCGCAGGCCTGCGCCAGCTTGGCGAAGGTGAACTGGTCGTCGTAGCCCACCAGCACGGCCCGCACCGGCTCGGCGGACGCCGCCTCGCCCTCTCCCGCCAGGCGCAGGCCGGCGTCGCGCACCTCGCCGCGCAACCCTTCTCCGCCCAGCACGAAGACGCGGCCGCCCGAGTCCCCGCTCCCCACGCCGCCGCCGAGGAGGCGCTGGCGGAGGAAGAGAGCGGAGCAGAGCGCAGAGCTGAAGACGTGCTCGGCGCGGACGCCGCGGAAGCCGAGGCGGCTGAAGCGCCGCTCCAGCTCGGCCACGGAGCGGCGGCTGTTGTTGCTGACGAAGAGGGCGGCCTTGCCGCTGCGCCGCAGCCGCTCCAGCAGTTCCGGGGCGCCGGGCACGGCGCGCTCGCCCGCCCACAGCACGCCGTCGCAGTCGAAGAGTAGCCCCTGCGCCGGGCCCAGCACCTCCCGCAGCCCTGCGCCGCTCAGCCGCCGGCAGCTCGCCATAGCTCCGCTGCACCGTCCACCGCCCGCCGGGCCGCCGGCCGGCCGCCGCGTCCCGCCCCGCCCCGCGGGCCCGCCAATCACCGCCCCCCGGCCGCCGCCGCCACCAATGGGAGGCGGGGAACGCGCTGAGCGGCAGCCCATCTGACCCGTCGTTCTCGAGGGGAAGGGGCGGGGCCAAAGTGACAGCTACCCAGACCTATCAACTGCCGAGGAAGGCGGTGGGGAGGCGGGACAAAGTCTGAGCTCTCTTGCCGATTGGTTAAAGTCGCCTTCCTCAGCCGCCTCCTCCGGGGAGGCCTCGCGGCAGCAGGGCGCCCCCTGCTGCCCGGCGGTGCCTGAGAGGCGGCCCCTCTTGAGGCACCCCCTTGAGGGCTGCGGCCGCCCCTCTCCGCCTTGGCGTCCCTGCAGAACTGCCCGTCCCCCTCCCGTCTGCAGCTTGCGGGTGCACAGCCTCCAGCACCTCGCAGGGCTGAGCCCTGTTCATACCTGCCTGTGACTTGTGACACCGGCTTCCTAAATAACCTCGTTGCAAAATATACATTTTTCTGTGTGTTCCTGAGGCAACACGTTTTATGGCACAGTGGGGCAGAAGGGGCTGTAATGAGTGCTGTGTACCTGCAGAAGAACTTGCCCACGCCAGCCCCAGAAATGCCTCCCTGCCATCCATCTCCTGTTCTCCCAGGTCCCCATGGAGACCTGAACGGGACCCTGGGTCCCTCAGCAATGGCTGGGCCCAGCAGGGACATGGTGGTGCAGCGAAGGAGGCTGTGGAGACGGGAGAGTAAGGGGAGGCGGGCGATAGGCAAGATGGAGGAGCTGGAGAGGCATGCCATCCCTCAGACCACCCTGGTGTTTTCACAGTGCGTGCTGGGCCCAGGGGCGCACTGCACCCCATCCCACTCACTGCTCAGATGGGCGATGTGGCCAGCGGGCTCCCAGCCTCAGGCAGTGGCTGCCCCTCATCCACGGTTCCGGGGGCACAGTCCGTGGTAATCACTGCATCGGCCTCACTGGCCGGGGACCTGGGGGACGGCAATGGGGCATCGTGGCTGTGGCGGTGTGCTGGCTGTGGCGGGAGCGGTGGTGGGACGCTGGGGGCTCGGCTGAGCGCCCCGGCCATCCGTCGCGGCAGGGCTTTGGGGCTGGCTGCATGCTTGGGGGCTGCCAGGGCAGGGGCTGTGCTGCGGGGCTGGGCCACAGGTGGTGGAGCCATCATGGGTCGGGCTGGAGCCGGGCGCTTGCCTGGAAAGAAAGCTGAGGTGGGATGGGGTATTCTCTGCTGGGGTCTCTCTCTGGGGCAGGGGGGCTGTGGTGTCAGATGTGGGTTGCAGAGGGACAAACTGCCCCTTGCCCGTCCCCATACTGGAGACCCAACAGCTTTTGAGGGCTTTTTCCATCCTCTTTTCTTCACAAGAGGCTATGAGCTTTGACCTCTCTTACATGGGACACTGGAGGACTTACCATGCCCATCCCACAGTCCCACCTTGTCTGGGGCTGGAGCACACAGTGAGAGGCTGGACCCTGACCGTGATCCCAGCCAGATGCCCTTACTCTCCTTCGGTGGCAGTGACATCCCCAGCACCCTCTCATGCGGGATGAAGGCAAAGCAGAGGAGGTGGCATTGCAGGGTGTCATTTCCCAAGCACTGTGCCAGCAGGGGCACCCTAACCTTTGCGCGCAGTGTCGTCAGTCAACGTTGGAGCTGGTGGCCCTGCAGCTTCAGGAGATGGACTGGTCACTGCTGGGGATGACCTGGGCTCAAGATCCCTCGAGGTGCTGCACAGAGAATGGGGTAAGTCAGGCTTTGGCTAGGCACGGGGAGCCTGGTGTGGGGTGGGATGAGGGAGGACATGGGGAGAGCTGGGAGAGCCCCCAGCTCCCACCAGACTTACACCTCTCCATCCAGGAGAGTGGGGGTGCTAGCTGGAGGGACATCAAGGGTCAGCTCTTCCACTGGGGTGGCGTCGCTAAGTCTGCTGTTTGCAGGTGGCATGAACATGCCTGAGACATTGAAATCTACCTCTGGGTGGACAGAAAGGAGGAGATGCCATGAGGAGAGGCTTACTGCCCAGAGCTTCCCCCGATGACCCCATGGCAGGGGACTGGTGCAGCCACCCCTGCTTCCCTCCCCCTGGGGAAGGAGAAATGTCCCCTTTTCTTCCTCCTCCCTTCACCCTGGGCTGTCACCCCCCAGGTGAGGCCCTGGCCCTACCTCCAGGGAAGAGGGTATCTGCGTGCTGGATGAGGGCTTCAACCACACTGACCACCTGGATGGAGGAGACCGAGGCCAAGTCCAGTTGCATTGGGTCTCTGAGAGACAAAGGTGGGGGGAGGCATCAGAAAAAGTATCTTGGGCCATTAACCCTTCTGGTGTTCATTTCTGAGGGGTGTGGAAGGGCAGTAGGTGGGCCTTGTTCCCTGTCCTGGAATCCCTGGAATTGGTGTTGGAGGCCATCCATGTCATAGGTTCTCCAGGTCTCAGCCACTCCCTATGCTACTTTGCAGCGTGGCCAAGAGGACATGTGCTTGGTGAAGGGATGTGCCAGTCATGGACCGTGGGGACAAGGGACAGTATTTGAGGATGGAGGTGCTTTAGACCAGCCTGAAGGCTGCTGGATCAGCCTTTCCCATGGTGTTTGCTCTCCAGGCACCCCAGCTGGGGCTGGGGCACTGCCTCCCACCCTCCACGCAAGGTCTTACCCTGTGCTCTGCTGTGACCACAGCAGGTTGGGGCCCAGCACGATGGCGATATTGCTGGGGGTCATTTTGTTCACCTCCTGGTGTTCAGCCAGCTTAGCTAAGAACTTGATCAGATACCTGTGGGTAAAAGGAGGTCAGGCGGGCGGTATGTGTGGGTTTGGGGAAGGAAGAGCTGCCCCAGTGGTTGCTGAAGGAGCCCTGTCCTCACAAAACACCTCAGGTTGTTGTAGCTCTCATGGGGCAGGTGACTGCAGGTGTCCCGCAGGCTCTGTATGCGGCTCTCATCATCCTTTAAGCTGCAAGAGAGAAGGAGGAGTGGGGAGCTCAGCCTGCTCCCTATGGCAGAGAGGGACAGCGTGCAAGGGAAGACGGTCAGTGTTAGCCACCCTGTGTGAGCCGTGGCCCTGGGGTTGGGGATGCCCTGCTGTCGCCTTTACTGGGCAGCTAAGCAGGCATCCAGAGAGGACAAAATCACACCCCAAAGGCTCAGAGGGTTTCATATGATACAAACGCAGCTTCTGGGTGGGCCCAGGGGTGAGCACCCTATTTCACTGTGACTATGGGGCTCATTGGCATGGAGCTGATCCCTTCAGAAAGATACTCTCCCCTTTTCCACGGCTTTTTGCCGTGTTCCCTTCACCACCCCTTCCATCGCAAAAGCAAGAGGCCAAACTGGGCACTAGCCATGGGGCTCACACTGTTGAGGTCAAGTGGGTCTTCACACAATATACTGTTTCTACAATATAAAAGGTTGCAGCCTTTCTCCTTCCGCTGACTTGTTTTTTATTGCTGTTCCCCAAGATTTTGGGCTATTCGGATTTCTGCTGAGCATGGGACAGACCAGGTGCTGTGTCTCTCCCTACATGGCAAACAAGGCCAAGCAGCCCTGCTCTGAGTGCTAGGAGGGATGGAGGGGGGTGAGTTGGGTTTATTTGACCCCTGCCAGGCTTTTCTGCCCCAAAGCCTGCACCTACCTGGCCACTTGGAGCCACTCGTCATAGAGCTCAAAGGTCATCAAAGGCTGGGGCAGCTCCCGCAGGTAGGACTTCAGTGCACCTGAGAGAGGAGGAGGAGCAATGGGGGTGATGGTGCTGGGGGACAGCAGGGACTGCCCGGTCATGTCCCCCTATGCTGCATCACCGGCACCCACCGGCCACGGCGTGGGGGTCTGAGTAAAACTCTTCCAGCGCATTGGAGCCACTGGCCAGGCTGCTCTTCAGCTTCCTCAGCACTGAGGCACCAGCTGCCAGCCGGAAGAGTCCCTGGAGATGAGGTGAAGAGGGAAGGGATGTGGGGGGACTGCATTCGGGGAAGGAGGGAGGGTGGTGGGAGGTCAGGAGTGCTGCCTACCTCCTCCCTCATGCCAGAGGCCAGCAGCATCATGACACAGGCTTCGATGGGCAGCGCGATCTCCCGGCCCAAGCTTTTGAGGTGTGTCTCTAGGGGCACACCGTAGTACCCCACCACTGGGGTGTCTGCAGTGAAGGAGGGCTCTGGAAGAGAGAGGTCAATGTCAGGAGGGATGGTGGCCTCTGGGGTCATCTGGCATCCAGCCACAGTGACATCTCGCTCTGACCAAGAGCAGAGGCAGCATCCCCATGGTGTGGGTCCCAACCCACCAACCCGACATAGGAGGCAGCAGCAGGCACAGTGAGGGAAAACCTGGCTTTCCCAGCCTCACAAGCCACATTTGCATCCCCCTAGGCTCAGCTGCAGTCCTCCCTGGGCTGCATGGAGAGCCATTGGGTACCTGTCTGGCTGTGGCTTTCCTTCAGCTCTGCCAGAGCCGAATCCAGAGATCCGAGGGACTGCCGGTGATACTGAGCTTGGATTTCCAGCAGCTGCCAGACATGGGACAGGCAAACAGTGCTTCTTTTGGCATCAGCCTCTCTCAGAGAGACCCCCCACCAGGAATTGTGCCCACATACAGACAGGGCAAAGGGGAAGCTGCAAGGGGAACCCCCTTGTGGTCATTGGACCATGTCTGTAGTGGTGGGTAGAGGGCAAATTGGAGAGGGAGGGTCATCAGGACAAGTAGTTGGTGCTAGTGATGGCATTAACCTGCAGTGCATGGAGCAAGGATAGCTTTAGGCATTTGCTGGTGCCTGGGGCTGTCCCTTGTCCTAAGCAGAGGGCTTAGTGTAGATGGGGACAAGGCATGGCTCAGACATACTCCAAGAGACATTCACATGCTGAGGATGAGTGTGAGAGAGGACTTACTTTGATGAAGTAGCTGGCATAGCTGTCCTCTTTGGTGGAGAAGTGGTACAGGTCAGCCATGTACTCATCCTGGGAGGGGAGACAAGAGAGAAGAGCAATCTTCCACCTGAGGAAGAGGGGACACCTTCACAAAACCCTCTCATCCAGGCTGTGAGTTGTCCACAGAGGGTTTCCGGGTGCAGTGGGGAGGCAGGCTGGGACCGTGGGGGCATTTCTCCTTGCCTTCATTGCTTGCATTTCTATAGTGGCAGTGACCTCTCCTGCAATGAGGGTGCTCACACAAGTGTCTCAGGACAAGAGGTGCCTGCACCTCCAGTTCTAATGAGCCCATGGCTCTGCCAGGCAAGGCACTGGGCTTTTCAGAGAAACATGGAGTAAGTTGATGTGGAGGTCCCCGGCCACTCAGCACAGATCCCAGCTCAGCTGGTTCCTAGCCCAAGGGGACCCCATAAGCTCTCTGCTGTAGCCCCTGGAGCTTCCTCTCTGCAGAAGCTTGTGCTTTGAACCCTTAATTCCTCTTCTTCCCTGAGCTTGGGGCATCCCCCTGTTTCTGCTCCTTGAGGGACTGGTTTGCTTGTGGAGGGCAGGACATACTGGCTGGCGGCATCTATCTCAGTATAGGGTCACTTTGGAGGGAATCCGTGAAGGGGAACAAGTCTGCAGCCCTGGAGGTGCCCCACGAGGGAGAGCAAGCAAGGTCTCACCTTGCACTGCTCCACCTTCTTCTTCACCTCCTCCTCCTCCTCCTTCAAGATCTCCAGTTTGTTGGCAGCAGAAGATGCCCCTGGGCCAGCACCAGTGCCAGCACTGTTACCGGAGCTCTTGGCAGCTTGGTTCAGCCTTTGGAGTGGGAGAGAAGAGTCACACCTACAGCATCAGTGCCAGGGACATGGGGTGGGATGGGTGTGCAGAAGGGGTATGGGGATCATGAGGAGGACAGCAAGTCCAGGTACTGCCCTGCAGTGCTTTCCCTAGGCCAGTACCTCTCATTTCCCTCACCCAGAAGATGGTGCTGCACAAATGGGTGTGACCTGGTTAGGTTGGGGGGCATTCAGCAAGGCTGACTGAAACACCCAGGGCCTGCAGGACCCTTCCCAAGCCTCATTCCTGAGATGAGCCATCATGACTCATGATGTGGAAATGACCCATGGCTGTGCTGCTCTTCCAGAGAAACCTGGCATGGCACTTGGAAATTCGTTTCCCAGAGCGTTGTCTCTCATCCTGGGTGCCTGGATGCCCTAGCCCCCTGGCCACAGTGTGCCCCATACCGGCTCTTGATTGTGTTCCAGTCAGAAATCAGCTTCTGGAGGGTCTTCTTGCGCTTCAGGATAATAGGAAGCTCCTCCTGGGGAGAGAGGGCCCAGAGTGAGTGGGGAAGGCTTGGGGATGTGGGAAGGGGTGATGGGATGGGAGAACGGAGCCAGGAGGGCATCCAGGCCTACCTCACTGAGCCTGTTGAGTGGCTGCAGCACATTGCGCTCCAGGGTGATCTCAAACTCAGCCAGGATTTTGGCCAGTGAGCTTTCTATACAGCAGCCCATCTCCAGGGCTTTCCTGCATAGGAAAGACTGTGGGCTGGAACCGTGACACTCTCTGACTCAACACCCCTCTCCATACCAGTACTTCTGTGGGACCCTGAGCCAGCCCCCGGCTGAAGGTGCTGTCTGTCCCCTCTTCCACTCCAGTGCCAGTATTTTCTCTGAGGACAGGGTTTGACAGCTCAGCTTGGCCATGGGAGCCCCTGAATCAAAACAGTGGCACTGACAGTATGTTTTGGGGTCACACCTGGCACTTTCTCCCATTGGCACTTACCCAAGGCTGGACTCTGTGTCCAGTTCCTTGAAGCTCTCAGCCATCGTCATGGATAGAGCCATCAAGGGCAGCTTCTTCTGCACAGAGACAAAGTTTTGGGAAAGGGATGGTGACCTGGCATGTGGCAGCTCCCTCCCCATGAAGCATGCCACCATGGCATGACAGCAAGTGGCCGAACCCTTCACTGGATGCTCACATCTTCCCCTGGCCCACCCATCCCCACTGGCCCTGGGGCCTGAGGAGGGGCCCTTTGGATGTTCCTTCATCCAAAGCCAGGATCCAGTTAGCTGAACAATGCATCAAAGCTTTATAGTTGGTTAGAAAACCTCCAGCCTTCTCTCAAATAGACCCATGTAGAAAACTGTGACACTGATGGAGGCCCTCACCAAGCACAGCCCACTCCGCCATGGCTTCAAATGTACGAAGCGGTTTCATCGTCAAGAATAATTAAGCCAAGCTGGGGCTTGTCAGGTTGCCAAGAAAAGTGGAGCTCACGGAATCACGGGAGAGCTAAGGAAAGTGTGGGCTGAGGTGGAGGATGCTACTCACCACTCGCTTGTCCATCTCGGAGCCGCACTGCCCTTGCAGGCAGGCTTGCAGCCTCTTGGACACGCTGTGAGCTGCTCTCTTGGCTGGCTCAATCCTCTGCTCGATCTGAGGGCAGAAAGGTGGGAATGGGGAGGCTCTTTTGCCAACCGTGGGCTGGGCTTCCCAACGCCATCTCTTCCCCAACACCCAGCTCTGGCGTGAGTGGCCCACACAGCATCCTGCTGCAGCGCAGATCATCCCTGGTCCAGCAAAAAGGGAGGACAGCTCCTGGTCGGGATTCATCCCTCTGTGAGTGGCCGGAGAAGCCCTTTCCCATAGCAGGAGCCTGCTGTGGTCCTGGAGCTGCTCTCCAGCACATGGGCAGATCCCAGCCCCACGACTTGGACGTGCTGGCAGGACAAACCGCAGGCAGGAGCGGGGCAGGTCCCACACCCATGCACAAGCAGGCACACGCCTGCCGGCCCTGCCGCACCTCACCTGCAGCAGATCTGCTGGCAGCAGCTCCGTCGCTTCTTGGGCTCTGCCGGGGAAGCAGAAAGAGCCATCAGCAGATGGGGTGACCTTCTTCCGCCACTCTTTGGGAGCAGGAGATACTGGCTATGGCCTGGACCATCTTACACAAGGCTATGGGTGGAATGAACCCAGGGGGATGGAGCCGGAACAGGGCAAGGCAGCCAACCTTCCTGGCTGGTGGACACCCATCAGACACAGCTTCCACGTCAGAGCACCATAGTCAAAATGTCCAGATGGAGACAGGGGTAGTGGGGCCATGGTGGGGGTGGGATGTTTGATGGTAAAGTCTTCTACCCCTGACCACTCCCCTGAAGCCAAATCCAGGGCAGTGCTCTAGAGCCTGCACATGTATTTGATGACCAAGCTGTGGCCTGAGACCAACACAAGCCCCTCCAGAAACGCCTACATGAAACTGGCTTTCTGCTTGGTTTTGCAGCAGGTATCAGGAGGTGAAATTTCTGGTTTGCAGCAAATTCTGCTCAAAACCAGATTCACATCCCACCAGCTGCCATCACCACCAAACCTCCCTGTAGAGGAAACCTCACTTCACGGCCTGCTGCCATTGCCGTGCCCCAGGAAGCCTGTTTGCTTTCGCTCTGCTGCTGTTTTCCCCAGTTCACGTTTCTCTCTTTTTACCACCCGATGGGGGACGAGGCTGTGGAGCTGCAGGAAACGGGGGTGGCTTGGTTAAAGGCAAGCAAAATCACGTGAGACCGCAGCCTGCAAAGAAGAGGCTCTGCGGCAGGTGAAGAACTTGCTTTAGGACAGGATAGGCTGCTTGAGACCTGCCTGGCACTAGTGAAACGGAGGTGCATCTAACATGGAGATGAGACACCTTGAGCGAGGAGGGATGGGAAAGGGGATCATGGTCCCCTATGGGAAATGAAAGAAGAGCAAGAGGCCACCAGGATGTAGAAGCTGCTTCCCTGTGGCTGGTCTGCTGGGCTGGCTGAAGGACCAGTGCAGTGGTGCAGGGGACATGGTTGGTCCTGCTCAGCCTCCCAGCGCTGGGGAGCCTGTGGAGGTGGCTGTAGGAAAGGAGCAGTGAGGGGGCTGGGAAGGGAGGGCCCAGCCCTGTAATTTCAGTTCTGGGTTTTGCAAGGGGAGAGCTTTGGAAAGGCAAAGAGAAAAATAAGGAAGAGGCAGAGGTAGGATGGGGCCAGAGGGATTTGTGTGAAGCTGTAAGATCCCCGGCCCTCTCCTCAAAGGGCATGCCAGGAAGCCCATGCTGCCAGGCTTGCTAGAACTGTGCAGAGCATTCAGTGCCTGTGAGGATTCAGCAGGGAAGGCAGGTCCCAGTTCCTAACACCCTCCTGGTCACTACACAGCCAAGGGAATTTTGCTAGAAGGTCCTTCCCTGTTGCCCTCACATCCTGAGGAAGCCAAGCTTGGGAAAGGCCTCTTTCCAGGTGGAAGTAGCATCTGGTAGTAGCTGGTCTTGGGCATCCTATCACTGTTGAGCAGCACCAGTGCAGCCTTCCCATTGTCCCGCGGGCACCAGGAAGCCACAGCTCCTCAGCTTATGCTGAAGATGCTCTAAACCCAGGGTCATTCCCTCTTCCCCTTTTCCCTGGCCATGGAAGATCAGTCCAGCCCCAGTGCAAGCCCTCCAGGACCCACATCCCGCTCCCTCCCATCCCCTCCATAGCAGGTAGTGCAGAAGTCCTTACCGGCCGGTGATGTTGGGATGGGACAGCTGCTGCCGCATCCAATTGATCTGCTTTTTCATCATCTTGAGTGCTGGGAGGGAACCGCAAGAGCTGCTCCACTTGTCTGTACCCACTCAGCACCCTTTGGCAATGCTTGGCATCAGACGCTGGTGGCCCCTCAGCTCCCCAGAGCTGTTCTCCCCTTGCTTTTCCCTGAGGACCTCTCCTTCCCCTGTTCCCCCTTTCTGTTTGTCTGGCTGGCCCCCTCCCTCATCCCTCCCAGGGGACGCCCTGCCTTCTTTCTCTTCCCCTCCCTTGGACTCCCTTCTCTGGCTCCCTCTCTTCTGAGCTTCCTTCCTCTCCGTCTGCCCTTGCGCTGCAGAGCAGGTAAGAGCAGCTCAGGGCTCCTGCTCCACTCTGTGTTCCTGTCACCACCCCGCAAGTATAAATAACTTCAGCCCAGCCTTAAAGGGGAAATATTACAGCAAACACATAACAAGGCAGGACAAGCACATGTGCTGCCAAGCCCAAGCAAGGGCCCACGCTCTGTTTCTTGCTCTGTCTCAACTCGGCTGCTGTTTTTCCCCCTCTTGCCTTGCCCACCACTAGCTCATGTCCATGCCGGCTAGCTGTGCAGCACACACGGAGTTTCTTTCTGATGTACATCCTGCCCTGCCTGGTCACCCAAACTCTGCTCCGTGCTCATGGGTACAACTCCACTCTCTTCCCTCTGCCACATATCCCTCTTGTCGTAGCAAATGCAGGAGGTCGAGCAGCAAAGCCACTCCTGCAGCCCCTTCTGTGCCCCCCACCCCACTTCCCATCACCAGCGCTCTCTAGAACAACAGAGCTGCTGCCCTGTGCCCTGGGGAGGCCCCTTCCTCCCTGTTCTCCCACTGCTGGCAGAGCTCCTCGGGGCTGAGCACAGCACAGCAGCACCCGCATGCAGTCACACAGGAACCACAAACTCCCCGTTCCCAGGCTCGGGTGCTGCCCGCTCGCTGCAGAGCTGCTCCAGTGCTCAGCCTCTCTGTGTTTGTGTCGAAGCATCCCCTTCACACCAGCACCACCTCCTTTGCTCCTGGTGCTGAGAGATGTAAACCTTGCCTTGCTTCTGGCTACCTGCAGCTGGGGCTTTCCTCCATCTGCAGTTTGCTCTCGGCTGCATTAACTTCGGCAAAGGAACGAGCACGAGCACAGGCAGGAAGTGGTCAGCTTGTGGGCAGAGACAAGCAGCAAAGGAAGAAGAGGCGGAAGGGACATTCCACCTGTGCCCCCAGGCCTCAAGGGCTACAGTTAGGGGGGTGCTGGGCTCTGCTCTGTAGTGGAGGGCAAAGGCTCCAGTGAGGGCATAGCAAAGCAGTGCAGGCAGCTGGGATGGAGCAAGGAAGCCCTGCCTGAAACGCCAGGTTGCTCTAAACCTGTGGCTCAAGTATGTCTGATACCCCAGCCATGAGCCCTGGGAGTGCTCCCAGCAGGCAGTGTAGTTACTGAAGGGCATCAAGTCTAAGGGGTTCAAAGCATCTCTTCCAGAGGCTAAAAAGCCCCCCCCAAGACCCTTGTCAGAGCAGATCTCTCTCTTCCCCCCCTGCACTAAAACTGCCCTGGGCAAGAGGAGGAAGAGCTGCTACAAGCAGTGGTGAAGCTACAGTCATGTGGGGCACAGGAGTGAGGGCAAGCCCTGCTCCTTACGTGATGCAGGGCACTGACCCTTGCCCCACAGCCTCTCCCTAGGGAGAGAGGGAAGCAGGCAGCACACAGCTTCCAACCTCTCAAAAAGGAATTGAGAGCAGCTGGGGGACTTCCACCAACTTCTCTCCCTGGTCATGGGAGTGGGGAAACCATGGTGGCAAGGCCCCAGGTGACTGGGGGATGACTTAGATGATTGCAGGGGCAGGATGAGCTGGAAATGATGCCTTGTGGGGTGGAAGTCAGGGAAGGGGAGGGGAAAAGGCATTCCTTCAGTCAAAAGGCAGGGACAGGATCAGGAAAGAACTATTTATTTCCCATAAATACAGCAGACTGTTCGCGCCGGGCGTTTTGTTTTCAATGTTTGTTTTCTTCCATTTACAGAATTTTGCACTGAAAATATATACATGTCTGTTCAACCAAACAAGATCTGCAAAGAAAAACCCCATACAAAACCCTAAAAAGAGACCAGAATGGGAAGTAAGACACAGCAGAACCCCAGCATAAAGACCTTGCTTCCCCCTCTCCTCTACCACTCGCTGCACCCAGCTCCAACACCTCACCTTTGCTGCCTCCCAAGCCATGAGCACGAGGCACTCCACTCACCTCCATCTTGCCCAGGCCTCCTTCTACCTCTGGCAAGCCTATTGCAGGGCGCAGCTTGTTCCTACTTTTCAAGATCAGGCCCTCTTAAAACCAGTTAAGGGATGGGAAGCGGCTCCTGCAGTCACAAGTCCCATGGGGACATGTCACTCGCCGGTCCCCTCCGTGCCTGCAGATCCCCCCTCTAGTGTCACAGTGATCAGGTGGCTGTGTGGGCCCCCTCCCCGCGCAGGGAGCCAGGCAAAGGTGCACAAGGCACAGCTGAACCCCCCCCCCCCCCCCCCCAGAGCAGAGCCTAGTGGTGGCCCCTGGTGATGGGTGGCCCTCCAGCCTCTCTATGACTCCCAGTCCATCACCCACCCCACTGCGAGAAGACACTGAGAAAGCTCCCCTGCCCCACCAAGCCCTCCAGCCCAGCCAGGAGGGAGGAAGATTGTGCTGTTTCCTCTCTGTCTGGCAGGAGGCTGCAGGGAGACTCACCCCCACTTCTCCCAGCACACCGCCCTTGGGGGTGGCATGCAGGACAAAGTCCCCAAAGCTCGCTGTGGCAGATAAAGCACATGGGGACTGTGTGGTCTTCCTTGCTATGGGGACTCAGTGCCTAGGTGAAGAGGATGGGAAGGCACAGAACAAGCCCTGCCCAGCCCCTGGGGTCCCACCTCCCACTAACAGTTCCATATTCAGCTGGAAGGACGGAGATATGGGGAGATGACTCCTCCTGACCCCCTCAAAGCAAGGACAGCTGCCTGCTTGGAGAGTGCTGGAGACATGAAGTCTCCATCCAGCCTCGCTCCACAGCAGCTCCAGTGGGATCCCATCAGACAGGGTACCACCAAGGCCCAGTTCCAAAGAGGGGGCAAGGGGGACAAGCACCACACAGCACGAAGCAGCTGAAGGGCTGGGAAGCGCAGAGGGGACAGACAAGGAAAAGGATCTTCCTTTGCTAGGCCTTGCCCCAGGCTGAGGCTGTTAAAGCTCCCCTTCCTTGTTCCCCACTGCCCCTAGAGGGGGAAAGCAGGATTAGAACAGAAGCTGGACAGACTGGGGAGGGAGTGTCGCCTTCGGAAGAGCAGGGAAGGCAACTGCTCACACACACGAGGCTCTCCACGTCTGGTGGGGTGAACATCTCCCGGTGTCTTTGCTTTCCTCCTCGAGGCACGCTCCCTCTGGCCCTCGCCCGGCCATCTGGCGAATAGAGCGTGAGCAGCAGTCCCCCACCCACCCTCCCCATCTCCTCGGGCTACTCCAGCCCCTGAGGGCTGGCTTCCCAAGGACTCTGCAGTGTAGTGCCTGCAACGTGCAGCCCTAGAGGTTTCCCCAGGACTCCGGTGGGGGAAACTGGTCCACATCCCCCATTTCATTGTAGGTTTGCTCTCCCATAGTGAAGATCAGCTTGTACCGTAGCCTCACTTTCTCCTGTAGATGGGGGAGAAAGAATAAAGTCAGAAGAGGGTTAAAGAAAGGCATGAGGCACAAACCCTGCAGGTCTCTTGGAAGCCAAGGAGACCAAACAGGGATGGGGTAGGAAGGTTTTGCTCAGGAAGCAAGAGCAGCCCCTGCTCATGCCCCAGCAACAGTGCTGTTACCTTCTGTGGGTTAGCAAGCAGCAGGACTTGTGTGATGGCACTGGGGTGGACAATGGGGTTGAATGCCGGGAGCTCCGTGCCTGAGGGAGGCTGCAGCTTCACCTTCATCACCTATGGAGAGAGGAGCAGCCCACATTCCCAAAAGGGACATGGCAGCCAGAGGCCGTGCTCCTGTATTTGGAGAGCCTCCACAGTTTAGTCAAAGAGTATTGTGCTGGCTCCTGCTAATCTGAAAGCAGCACAACTCATTCTCAGCCCCACAGAGCTCCCTCCACCCAGCCTGCCCTTCCTGCAGAAGCAGAATCGCACTTTGGTGAGGTCTGGGGACCTCAGCCCCATCAGCTGCCTTACCTTGGGGACAGCAGACTGAAAGACAATGTTGCGGATGGGCTGTGGGGCTGTGCTAAGCATAGAAATCACCACCACAAGCACATCAGGCCTCTCAGGCAGAGCATCCTTAGCAAAGTGGAAGAGGACACGGAAGCCATGCTGATCATAAACCGTCACAGGAAGGATGCTGCCTGTGGGAAAGGGAGGGACAGGCAGCAGTCAGCAAGAGGGAACTGGTCCTGCAGCAACCTCTGCCCATCACCCAGACTCCCTACAAGTGACAGAGACACTACTCCCCCTCAACCTCCACAAAATCCAACCAGCAAGAAGTTTCCTCACACTCTTCCCTTCCAAGTGCACATGGTTTGTTCCCCCCAAGCTTGCTCCCTTCTTCCTCCCTGGCTCACTGGGTTTGATTGACTCCAGAGGCACAGTGATGTTGGCCAATGAGATCTCCTGGGGCAGCGTGGTGGCAGGAGGCTGTGGTGGGACTGCAGAACTTCCAACTGGTGTGATAGCAGCTTTTGGGAGTGCAGCAGGGGCAGGCAGCTCCGAGGCCAGGGGCAGCGTGGGATTAGGGGAAACACTCTGGAGCATGGGCAGAGTGCTGGGACTGTGGGCTGTGGTGCCAGAGCTGCTCCTGTTCTGGAGATCCCTCAGGGTGAGCCGGGGGGGTGGCTGCTGCTTCTCCCTGTAGGGAGAGAGAGAGCAAGGAGTGGAACAGGGCACTGAAGTGGCACCTTAAGCACCCCAGAAATGGACACGATGAGAGATCACACTACCCCTGCTTACCATCGCATTTGCTGAGACTCTGGAGGCAAAGACTGTTGCAGCAGAGTCTTGCCCAGGAGGTCCAGGTCATCCAGGCCACTGGTGGAAGGAGAAGGTTTGGGGGAGGATGAGCCAGCATCTGCTTTGACTGGTGGTGCTGCTGTGATAGGGGTGATGTTGAGCTCATTGCTATCCGATGACTGTAAAAAAGAGTGCACAGGAGACCCCCCAAGCAGGGTTGCACATCAGCACCAACCAACAGATGTGGGACATTTCCCTACCTACTCCCTCTGTTGCTTTCCCCACCCCCCTGCCCCCACCTTCTGCCCTGGCTCCCGGCATGTTACCTGGAAGCTGTTCCAGCCACTGCTGTCACCAGCCTGGGCAGGATGAGGTGCTGGGTCATTCAGGCCTGCCAGGGATAAAAGCAAACATGATGCTTAGCTACCAAGTGGTTTAAGAGCATTAAATGTGGCCTGAGTAAGACACAGAAGCAGCAGGGCAGAGCCACCAATCTGGTCTCCATCTCTGGCTCCTATCTTTGCATGGGGGAGAGTCAGGAGGGTGACAGTGTTTTTTCTGCCCGGGGATCCTCAGTTACAATCCAGTTCTCACTTCAGTTGACAGCGAAGTGAATACCACTGTGCTGACAAGCCCAACTGACCACATTGTCTACTCCATGCTGTTGTACTCAAACCACCTGTCTTTGGAAACATATACTTGGCTGGGAAAAGAAGGACTCTAGAGCCTCCTAGGA